GGGCAGAAGTAATAGCAGAAAACTTCCCAAATATGAGGAAACAATCTGACATTCAGGTAACTGAAGCATACAGAACGCCAAAGAACCTCAACCCAATGAAGAACAAGCTTAGCAAAGCAGAGGGACCGCAGTTCAATCCCCCAGCACCACATGCCAGCCAGCCCCGCCCCCTGGTGGGCTGAGCTGACCACACACACACACAAATAAATAAAATTAAAAAAAAAAAAAAAAAACAGTAGAATGTTTGCCTAGCATGTGTGATAACCTGGGTTGGATTCCTAGCACAGACAGGGACACAGACACAGACACAGACGCAGGGGAGAGGACAGAAGCAGAGAGACAGACACATACACACAAGGTGGGAGAGATGAAAGACAAGAGGGGGAAAGGAGAGAAGGAAAAAAATCCAGTTCAAACTCGCATACGTTGAGAACAGCAAATGAAAGAATATACTGATTCTAAAAGTTCTGAGGTGCAGTAGCTCTCCTATGGCCCTCCCGTCTGTGGTACCTCTTTCCATTCTTCACTGCTGCCTTCTCAAATAGGCCCATTCTGAGTGGTAGCAGGATAAGGTCCAGCCCACTAAGTGCCTGCCAATTTCATAAGGATAGTGTCGCTGTTTGAAAAGTATCTAAATAGTGCCCTAGATCGGCCTGAACTACAGTAGCAAGACAGTATAACATTCTAGGAAGCCCCCTGGCACACCAGAGAGCTAGCTGCACCATCCAGGCCAAGATAGCACTTTTACCAGCAAGAGGAAGAAGTAATCTATGGTGACCAAGCAGAAGCAGCAGATGTCTGCTGTGTCCTACTCTAGCCTTCCAGCAGTCCATGTGCTCTTTCTTTGCAGATGTGAATGTGGCCTTTCAGCAGTCAGCACACAAGGTATTGCTGGATGACGATAACCTTCTCCCTCTGTTACACTTGACCATCGAATTTCATGGGAAAGAGCACAAAGGTTTGCCTCTCTCTGTACCTTTCTGCTTCTTTGGTCATGTTACTTTTCCTGTTTCTGCTTCTGTCTACCCCCACAGACATCAGGTAATTATCATTTTAGACCTTAAAAAGTATCTAGTCCAGTCCTGCAGTTGTGTATAGGAAAAATGGGCAGCTTGGAAACCTAGTGAAATTAGGTGAGATGCCCAGGCTATGTTGTTTGTGGGGACAGCGGGCATGCTACCAAATGGCCCCTTTTCTCCCAGCTTCAGCTGCAGTGCTAAAGCAGAATCTGTGATGCCCTCCCAAGTAAGCTTCCCAGTGACTCCCTACCCACTGCCTTTAAATCCTTTTACGCTGATGTCGCAGACTCCAGGAAGCTCCTCATGAATGTTGTTCACCTTGTTGAACCTGATTCTGGATCAGCCGAATTGTTGTTCCTTATTCCTCTTCTTGTTTCTAGATGGTCTTCAGCCAAGAGAAGGGCCTTCTAGGGAAACTTCTCCTCGGGAAGCCCCTGCCTCCGGTTGGGCAGCCCTTGGCCTTTCCTACAAAGTACAATGGCCTCTGCACATTCTCTTCACCCCAGCTGTCCTGGAGAAGTGAGTATTCCCAGTGTCTCACAGGTAAACATTGCCTGCCTTAGTTCCAAGGGAAAAAAAACCACAGGAATAGAATTGCTGGGACAAAGAGAGCCAACTAGCTTTTACCTGTCTGTTATTTAGAGAATGGCAACTACATGCCTTTAGAGGCGGCCACACACAGTAACATGTTTTAAAAACATAGTTTTAAAAATAATTTGCCAAATAACAAGCAGTTTATCAGCTGCCAGTCAGTGGCCTTTGGAAAATGAGATCTCAGATACCACATTGAAATTCTGACCCTTAACAATTCCACCAGACAAATTTGATGTTGATGATGTTTGTTGATGATGGTGATAGTTTCCTTAGGGAAGTCCTCTAACCTGAATGTCTGCTATAAAGACTAAGGAGACTGACCAGAGAGATGGCTCCGTAGCGCAGCACCTGGCTGGCAAACACAGAGTCCTGAGTTTGATTCTCAGTAGAAAAAAAAAAAGACTAGGAGATCACCCCCATCCCTTGGAGGGAGGCAGGAGGGGCAGCCAAACTTCAGGGATGATAAAAAGGAGCTGAACCAATAAAGCCTGAGACACCAGCCATGTTCTGTACAAGAGCCTGCACATGCTGTTGCACTGGTCAGGACCTGCTGTGCCCAAAGGAGAAGGAAAACAGAGCTCCAGGGAAGGGAGGTGGGAGAATCTTCCTCCCAGGGAAGCTAGAGTAAGGCTAGCAGAATGGGAAGAGAGAAGCAGCCAGAGGCCCATCTCCTCCTCCAGCCTCTATCCGCGCTCACCATACTTTCCAGCCCTGTCTGCAGCTTGCAGGACCATACATCCTGGGCCATACCCTGGCTTGTGCGACACACACTTAGCCCTTGGATCTGGAATTATTTTTAGCTTTGTATTACAGAAAATTCTAAATAGAAACTGAAACAGACTGTAAAGAACACCCCCCTCAAAAAAAAAAAAAAAAACCTTCCGTCCTCATTCTCCAACTTCATGCTATACTCCTCCCTCCACCACAGGTGCTAGAGGCTTGAGAGAACCCTAAAGCCTGTCATTTCATCTGGCCACTACATGGTTCACAGAGGCAGTTCCAACATGGCTACAAATCCCTTATCATACCAACAAAACTAACAGTAATACCAGTTTTCTAAAGAAGTCTTTAGTTTTGTTCTTATCAGTACCCTTTTTTGTTTTGTTTTTTTGAGGATGATAAAACTGGATTATCCTCTGTAAATCTGCCTTTGAGCAGTTAATATGCCTCCAATTCTACAGGGAACCAGTCGCTCTTCTATAGGTGTTCTTAGTACAGGGCGCAGCCTTATGCCGTGAGCGCCACGCTCATGCCTTCCTCATGGAAGGCAGGGTTATGCTGTCACTGAAGGAAGCTGTTTATCTTCTTTGAGCCTCGGGGACAAGGAATCGGAATCATCACAATCTGTGGTTCATGGCACACATTTATTATTGGTTCATGGAAGGCCCTTCTGCTTTCCCACACACATCATAAAACCACTTCCCAGCATAGAAACTATCACTGTTTTTTCTCTCATTTCTGAGACAAAAGAAGTTGACAAAATTAAAGAATGAATAGTGTAGCTTACAGTTTGTAGAGTTTAGTGGACTGTAGTTTTCAGTCTCTTGACTCCAAGGTGGCATGGCAGAGGGGAATGAGGGGAGGAAAACAGTCCATGGCATAGCAGGAAGGAGGCATCAAGCAGAAGCAAGCAGTGACTGACCTTTCTGTTGTATCCCTGAAAGCTATCAGCCTTTTGTGTGGTACCACCTACATTCAGAGTGGGGCTTCCCATTACTTACACTCAGAACTATGTTAAACTAATCAGTGGAGTAAACCAGTACTGCAGACCTTTAATCCACATTCACACCTGAAGATCTAGCCATCTCTGAAAAGGTGCTCCTGTGGGTGCATGAACCTTTGGGGGACATCAGATGCAGGCATAAGTCACTGATAATGTTCATGTTTATGTGTTTTCCCCTTCCTGTTTCCCTGCTTCCCAGCCCAAGGCAGCTGATGTTATAAATTATTTACTTTCTCCATAGTTTTATGACATCTATGTATATTTCCCAAAAGGATTTTCTTTTTGCTTTTAGCTCTTTTAAGGCTTATTTAAATGTGATCTTTTGGGGCCTGCCAGATAGCTCAGCAGACTAAAGCGCTTGTTTAGGCAGAACACAGTGGCAGAGGTTTGATCCTTGGCATACTGTGCCAGCCCCACCCTTGAGGTACAAGGAGACGGCAATTGAGACTAGGAGTGGTGGTGCACACCTGTAATCCCAGCACTTGGGAGGCTGAAAACAGGAGGATCACTATGAGTACGATCTATGTAATGAGACCCTGTGGACCCTGTAGACCCTGTCCTAAATATAGAAGAAAAAAAAAAGTGATCTTTTCCACTTCACTTTTCATTCAGAATTATATTGCTAAAAGTCCCGCTGGTATATAGCTAGTTCATTCATTCTGAGTCCTGTGTACTTCACTGCACGTGATATTTCCACATCTCTAGCCATTCTTTGCTGCTTTTGAGGGGGAGATGGGGGATCCTAGTGTCCTAGTGTCTGTTGTGAGGGTGAAGTTGTCTCACGAATAGCCTCATGTCCTGTCCTAGGTATAATGTTGTTTTCAAGTACTTGCTGAGTGTGCGCCGGGTCCAGGCTGAACTGCAGCACTGCTGGGCCCTGCAGATGCAGCGCAAGCACCTCAAGTCTAACCAGACAGATGCAGTCAAGTGGCGCCTTCGAAATCACATGGCTTTCTTGGTGGATAATCTCCAGTACTATCTCCAGGTATGTGCCGGGGAATGGGGTCTAAGAGGTGGTGAGTGGTAGTAAAGAGGGCCTGTAGGTCCTGTATTTAGGTTAAGTGCTCACACTTAAGAAAACTCAGGTTCTACCTATCTATTGTGGGCAAGTGAGGGGAAGTAGAACTGTATGGACAGGGGACTGGGAGTTAGGGTCCTTCTCAACAGTGTAGTGCTTGTCATTGACTTGTTCCTTGGTGTTTGTTAGAACTTGTGGGATCTTGTAGGACTAAGTCAAGTCAGTAAGCAGAGAGGTGAGGGCATGGAGGGGGATTAGGTTGGGGCAGGAGAGAGGGGTTCCCAAGACACTGAAGGTGGTCAAGATGATTACACATGTAATGTCCTGCATAGCTGTGTTCTTTGGTGAACCTGAAAGTGGCTTGACTGGAGGGAAGACCAGTGGGAGCAAAGAATTTCTGTTCTAGCCTGTCAGACACCTAAGGGTAGAAGGGTGCTTAGAATATGAAGGTGCTGAACGTATTTGTGTCGCTATCAGGTAGATGTACTGGAGTCTCAGTTCTCACAGCTGCTTCATCAGATCAATTCTACCCGCGACTTTGAAAGCATCCGACTGGCTCATGACCACTTCCTAAGCAACCTGCTGGCTCAGTCCTTTATCCTGCTGAAACCTGTAAGTCGGGCTGCTCAGTTTCCTTAGACTGGTTCCAGCACTTGCTATACCTCAGGCACTTGGACTGGCAGGATAGAAAACACTCATTAAGCTCTTGTTTAGGTCTATTTTTAAAACATTTTTATCAACTTACAAAGCAAAACTAAAAGGAAATGTTAAAAGGGAACCAAAGTATTTTGAATTTCTGCATCTTTATATTGTGGAGGGAACAGCAATAGATAAAAGAATTATGCATTTAACTTTCAGATAGAAGGATGTAAAGAAGTACAGAACTCTGACAGAAAAATCAATGAAAAGCCGGGTTCATTTTCTTTGGGATTTGTCAGACCAGAATCAACCAAGCGTTTCAAAGTTGTTGCATGGAGCACTAGAGCGACATGTGTCAGTGTATGTACACACACATGCCTGTGTCCCTCCTGGCAGTTAATTCTCAACTTTCTCGGCATGATGGAATCATCTTGCACCCAGGAATTAGAATCCCCAGATTCTAACAGAAGGCACTGTTTCTTACTGATCACAGGCTGACTGCCAATCCAGGATTAAAAGCAGGAAGACTGGAATGACTTTTGTTATTACCTCTGGTGTGCTGTGAGCTGGCTAACTGTTCAGGGTGCCACAGCAAAAGTGCCGCACCCTTTCTATTCTGGCAGTTGGGCTGTTACTTTTGCTACACTAGTGAGTTACACCGATGCCACTCCAAAAGGTTCTGTGAATTGAAAACAAGCACAACTATTATGATAGGTAGACCTGTCCTTGTCCAGCATGACCGCATCCATAGGAAAAAGAGAATATTCAGAATAGGTCATCTTCATTAAATATTTATTGAGTGCTTACTGTATGCAAGGCACTGGGGATACAAAGAGGTATAAATCATGGCTCTGCCCTTAAGGAGCTCACAATCTAGTTGGAAAAACAAGACACATTTATACAGAAACCACTGATAGCACAGGTGACCTACACAATGCCAAGTGTACAGTACACATTACAGCACAGAGACCTGGGGCTCACTACAGCTACAGTGTGGGATGAACACTCCCAGACAGCAGGGCTTGCACTGATATCAAAGAGAAGAGTGTTCCGGACATGAGGATAACACATAGCTCAGAGGCGGGAACACACTGTGGTGCAGGCAATTAGGACTGGTTAAACGCGGTGAGAGGAAACTGAGAACGCATTCACATGTGTTGTCTGAGGGGCCAGCAGGCCTTTGGGATAGCAGTGTGAGGTCAGCTAATGCTTTTCTTGCAGCTTTCCTTTCACCACAGATGGGTCTTCCTTCTTTTTCTAATGCCCACCCTCTTTCCTGGGCAGGTGTTTCATTGCCTGAATGAAATCCTAGATCTCTGTCACAGTTTCTGTTTGCTGGTCAGTCAGAACCTGGGCCCACTGGATGAGCGCGGAGCAGCCCAGCTGAGCATCCTCGTGAAGGTGAGCATGCCTGATGGAGGCACACAGCTCTATCCACAGGGTAGCGGTAGTTTTGGTCCTGAAGGTTCCTGATTTTCCCTCTGAGTCAGTAAAGCATTTTCCCGACATACACATACAAAAATATATGATACAGAGATTAAAATGTCAGCAGGAGTTGATTTTGAAGTAGATGATTTATGTGCCACACCTCAGTGTTCAAAAATAGTTTCACCCTCACTAAGGTACTTCATTCATCTTATCAAATGTGCCTTGGCTTTGTGCTTACTTTCCCTCATCCCACCTTCTTCTTTGAAACACCTCTCACTGAGATGGTAATATCGCCCTGTCACAGAGACAAGCCCCCTAACCCCAGTACATAACAACAGATTCATGTGAAATCAGCTGCTAAATTCCTACTAATGAGAAAATTGTTTTATAGGAAACCATGCAGTCTACAGGGCTGCTAGTAAGAAGTCAATCCAGGAGCTGATGGCAGGGGACTGTGGGAAGGCCAGGTGGCTCTGGGGAATCCTGAACAAGACTGTTCCCATAGCTCCTCTGCTTTCTACTCCCCAGGGGAGCTGGGAAGTTAAGGGATGACAGCCTGAGTCCTTTCTCCACAGGGCTTTAGCCGCCAGTCTTCACTCCTGTTCAAGATTCTCTCCAGTGTTCGGAATCATCAGATCAATTCAGATTTGGCCCAGCTACTGTTACGACTGGATTATAATAAATACTACACCCAGGCTGGTGGGACTCTGGGCAGGTAGGAAGAGCCCTGGGAACTCAAGAGACTGTGTCTGTACGGCTTTTTAATGAGCTGTGGAATTCCAGAGAGGAAAGATGACTTTAGTGACCCAGATACTCTCATTTCATAAACAAGGCTCAAAGATAAGAGTGTGTCTAACCACCTTTAGTAATTTTAAGGAAGGTTATTTTCCCATAAAGACATCATCAAAATAAAATACTAAAATCACTGAGTGAGAAGGGTTTCATGTCCTGTGGTAGGTTATGTATTGTTGCACTGGCAGCAGTGTGGCTTTTAGTCCCAGCTCTGATACAGATGGGCTGGTGCAGCCACAGACAGTGGGGCCCTCAGCTTCCCTGCCTGTGAAAGGAGAGCACCACCCCTGCTGACTGGAAACTTGTAAAACATCTCTTTTCGATTAAGGGGTGGCTTCCCAGAGGCCTGTCTTATTCCCTTTCATAAAAGCACTTTATTGCCCTCCCTTCTGTCTCTTTTAAGTATTTCCGACCACTTTTTTTTTGTTTGATTTTAGCAGGAGTCACAGAAACTCTTTGAAGGTTAAGTCAACATTATCTAGATGATGATTTGTGTTTCTTTAAAGAGTCAGAAAGTATAGTATTTAATGAGGCTCTTTTTTTTTTTCTTTTGTAGTTTTGGGATGTGAAAACTTCCATAACCTCATAAACAGTCAATTCCACGAGTTCCCAAATATGTAATAGAAGATTCAAAACACTTAGCCACTCACCAGACATCCACAGCCTGGTGAAAAGGCTCTGTCCTTTCTCCTGGAAGCAACCCAGAGGTATAAACCCTTCTCATCACTCCCATGTAGAAAGTGACTGCCCCTTTCCCAGCAGGGATTCTTCACTTGCCAGCCGAGGAGGACCTGAGGTGTCATCTACTGTCTCTACTGGCCATCAGGAACTGTGCTTCACTTTGAAACATCTGCTGGATATGTTCATTACTAGCAGTAGTTTTATTAAACATTTACTGTATGCCCTGGTACTGTTCAAAGTGTGGGAGACACAGCAGTAAGCAGAAAGTTAAATATTTTGTGGTTGATATATAAAACAGAAATTATAAATAGTTTAACTGCTGGATGTCACCACTAAGTAAGAAATTTCCTCCTTCAAAGTGGATGATTGAAAGTCTCCTAGCCTTAAGGATCTTCAAAACTGAGCATGAAGAATTTGGTGCGTAAATCCCAATTCTTTCAAGCAAGTAGGACAAATTTACCTAATGAGACTATAAAGCACTCCCCCCGCAAAAAAACCCCATTATTAATGTTCATATCAGTATAGACAAAATAAATATTCACTGAACCCCTTCCAAATTGGAGGGGGGGAAAAAGGGAAGTTCTGGCCTCAGTTTGTAGTCACCAAGCCTGGTCTTCATCTTCTAGCGCACATGCCAGAACCCTTAGTCCCTCACTACAACTGTCAACCAAATATGAGCCCTTCTGCTGCTGCCACTGGAGCAGGGCTTGGCAAACCACTGCTGGCCATGCTGTCTGTGGTTTCAGTCAGACCAGCTGGCCCACAAAACCTATAATATGTACTGTTTGGCTCTTCCTAGAAAACATTTGTTGGCTTCGATTTAGAGAGGATATTAACGAGATAATGCTAGAGGCAGGGAAGAGCTTCCAGCAGCTGACAGCAGCAGCAATAGTGGATCTCTGACTGGAACTTTCAGTGTTCCTTTAACTTGACAAAGTCACTGTCCACTGATAGAAGCTGGTCACTTTCCCTTTCAGCAGAGCATGGGAGACCCCACAGATTAGCTGTCCAGAATGAACTCCGCTCTAAAGAGAAGTGACATCTTTTTAACAGGAAACTGACAGCTGTTCCACTCAGCTTTTGGAGTAACAGTCTGGTCCCTTGCCTACTTTCAAATCAAGTTTTTGGAACAGCAGCATTTTAAAGATCCTGGATGGATAACTTTTTGACAATGATGCCGAAGCATGAACTTCACTGCCAAGTTTTTATTTTCCTTGGCAAGCTGTCCTAAGTGAACAAGCCTATTGGAACCTCAGAGAAAGTCCTATTTGCCTTGTTTGTTGAGATCAAGCTCAAAGAAAGAGATGAAATCCCAGTTACTACAACCAAAAAGATTCAACATTTATTTTATCATAAAAGTCCAGCAAATAAAACTATATACAAGATCCATGCAAAGAATCCACACACAAGACACATTTAAAACCTGGTTAAAACACAGTCTCCACAATAGTAAGGAATAAAACCAGAAAGACCAAGTATCTTTAGTGAGAAATGTAATCGTGTTTATATTTTGGATGCTGCTTGAATCCAATTCTCTCCCCAACAATGAGGCACTGGATCACCCACTCTTGTGACACCACAGGCAGCTGCAATGCTTCAGCACACTTCAGCACGGAGGCTGGGCACGAAGGGTCTGTCACCACCACGTCAAACACCCCTAAAGCAATATCTGCAGGGAGCAGGGGAAGGGAATGAGGAAAAGACACTTCTTTCAGCCCTCCATTAAAAAGACAGCAACAAAGCTTAAATACGCCTCTGAAAACCAGTGTGAGTAGCCTGCTATCTCACATCTACTCACCTCCTACAGATGAAGTCTTATAAGCCTAGGCAAGACCCACCCGGCAGGAGTGACCCGTGTGCAACCCCAAGAGCTATAGATCCAAGGTGGCCATGGAACGATGGCAAAGCACACACTGCACAGGTACCTTTGTTATGGGCGCTTGAATGGTGCTGCTTCACAGATGCTGCACCCCCAGTCATGAGGATCTCAGACCAGAGTTCCAGGAAGTTCTGCTGCTGATCTGACACCAAGAGGACCTTCAGATTCTGGAAAGGGTTTTCACGGGGTTGCCTGGGAAGGAGTCAGAGACAGCCCTTTGGACCTAGAAAGGACCTGAGAGCAACAGATAGACCCAACAAACAGCTCCTATGTGAGGGGTGTCATGCATCAGAATGCTTGGAAAATGCTTGGAAAGCCCAGGTCAGGGCCACCTCATTCTCTCTTTGTGAGTGAGGTATATATTCTGTGGGATCCAGCTTCTGATCTCCATGTTTGTCCAGGCGCTGGAAATAACCCAAATCATGTTCCTGAGCTTTTTTTTCTTTTCAAATGCTTGCTTGAAATAGCTCATACTTACAGGTTGGGAATACTGAATCCACATATAAATCCTCACACATTTTTCACAAGATTCCTTCCTAATTAAAATGGAAATAAACTCGAATAAAATGAACTGTAGTTGGATGTGGTAGCATAGGCCTATAATCCCAGCACTTGGGGCTGGGGTAGAAGGATCTCTGAGTTCGAGACCAGCCTGGTCTACAAAGTTCAAAGCCAGGCTGAACTGCATAGTGAAACCCTGTCTCAAAAAGACAAGCAAAAAACCTGACTTTGAAATGGAATTGTGTGATTTTATCCTACAGACTCTGCAACTTTTAAAACATGTATTCCCTCACTTACAGTCTCCTTCCTAACACCATTTTTCTGCTATATCTGTTTGGCTCTAGATGGACTCCTAAATACTCACCAATCCAGAATTCTCTGTTCCTCAAGGCTGTATCCAGCTGGCAACAGATAATTACGGTAATTTTGGAGCTGATTAGCGTGGCAGCTGTCATGGACCCAGACATGAGACACACAAGGGATCCCACTGGCAAGGCACAGGAAATACTTCCGGGTTCGACAGTGCTGATCAGCAATTAGGAGACACTGGTAGGCTGTGTTACACTAGGAAAAAAAAAAAAAAAAAAAAACGGTCTGAGCTGTACCAGGGAACCTTTCAGAGCTTTCAGTGATACAAACACCCTGCTATGGCACGCATGCTATAGGTTTACCGCCACTGCCCTAGACATTTTTTCTAATTCACATGTAGTCTTCTGAGGGCCTAAGTCCTCAATGGACAAACACAGCCATGTATTCAGCCTTTTAGGCTAAGAATCTGCAACACTGACACCAACAGGAATTTCTTTTTTTTTGTTTTTTGTTTTTGGGGTTGGTGGTACTGGGACTCAGTAACTTGGGACCTTGCACTTGCCAGGCAGACACTGCACCACTGAACTATATACCCAGCACAGGAATTTCTACTTAACATAAACTTCAATCTGCTTTTGTCCCAGCAGCAGAACTATAACCATTAACTAACCCACAGTTTTAACATCTCTTCCTGTACACTATAAAAAAAGTATTTTATGCAAGAACTTTGACCATTTCCAGGCTCCTGAAGCCTCTGGCTACTTTATCCAAACTCTCAAGCCCCAGTTCTCACGGCAGAAAATAGGCTTTTATCATTGACAAGGTAGCTCACAAAATAATGCCTCACCTGGGCTTCATTGAAATCTTCAAGGATATAACCAGCTCCTGCTCGAAGCTGGGACTCTGTGTACTGCTTGTTGAAAGGAGGAATTTCTAAAAATTCTGTATTAAAAAAATATAACCAAGATAAAAGTTAGTGAGTTGGGGTCCTCTCCCATATGGCTGCATCTTACTGTCCCTTTCCTACTCCCTGTCTGCACAGCAATGTGTCCCCAACAGGTTAAGAGTTTTCCCCATAACTTAGAAAAATCTGTCTTGAGGCCCAGGAAGGGACAAGAGGGAGGAAGAACTGGGAAGATGAGGGTGGAAGGCAGGTACTAGACCCCGAGAGTCTAGGACCGTACCAATGGTTCACATGGAATTCTTGGCCAGGAGATATACAACCACTTACCAGGGACCTAACCTTACCATCAAGGAAGTTGTGCTGTGTCTGCCCTAAATCTTTCCTGCCTCAAACTAAACCCAGCTCCTGTATGGTGGCGCATGCCTGTAATCCCAGCTCTAGGAAAGCTGTAAACGGTGGATCACTACGAGTCTGAGATCCTGAACACCCTGAAGACCCTTTCCTAAAATAAAAATAAATAAACACAGCTCCTCTACTTCTGCATTCTATGGAAATAAACAATGATTGATTAACTTTTATATATAATAAGCCTTCAAATTCCCACTTCAGCCTTTTTCCACGCATTGTACACTAAAACTTTGATAAGCCAGAATACACAAAGTATAATGTCTTTAAATGTAACTAAGTAAAGATTAATCAGATTTCAACTTTTCATGGAAAACCATCTACCTCTTATGGTCGTGGAGGACCTCGGGACACTGAACACCATTATTTTCCTGGTCTTGAGGTTGAAGGAGGTGTGAGATGAAGCTGTAATTACCCTAGGCAACTAGAAACTGCTTTTCTTGACCAAATATCTAATTTGAGCTTGTTTCTTGTCCTCTGCTCATTTAATATATAAATAACACACTTAAAAAGTCATTAGACATTTTATGAGTGTTCTGGGAAATTAAGCTCTAATTAACTAAAATTTTATCACACAAAAAGCCCAATTCAGCACATAAAGTTCGATGCCAGGCCCCCTCCGCTTTCCCTCACCCTGTGGGGAAGCTGGATTAGCTGATCCCCTCCAGAGATGCCCTTCAGTGCCATCCCTCTCTGCCATATTCCTAGCTTGGTATTAATAAATGTCTCCTCAGATGGACTTAAATAGTTTACCATTTTCCTGTTATAAACTGGTATCTATGAACTCCCATCTATCTGTAACATCTACCATACAGTTTCCTAAAAAGTAAATCAGCAGAGGATTGTTTTGATACCTCTGCCTCAGCCTTGAGATTAAAAAAAAAAACAAACCGGAAAGCATTTTCATACCAGAACTATCAACCCTGGCACTCTTGGGGCAGTGTTCACTTTCTACCCAAAAACCCTGGAGATCCCTTAAAATTTTTTGTCCAAATTCCTCACTTAATTTTTGTGAGTACAATTTATTAGGTCTCACACAGGCACAGAGATTTTTCAGGAAATGAAAACCAGCCTGCGTCTCATCCCAGTCAGCTTTCTTTTTTTTTTTTTTTTTAATTAATGTATTTATTTATTTTGTGTGTGTGTGGCCAGCTCAGCCCACCAGGGGGCGGGGCTGGCTGGCATGTGGTGCTGGGGGACTGAACCGCGGTCCCTGTGTTTTGCTTAGCTTAGCTTGTTCTAAATAGGTGCTTTAGACCACTGAGCCATCTCACCAGCCCCCAGTCAGCTTTCTTGACAATGCTGTCCCAGGTAAAGCACCAAGAGGGCTGCGCTGTGAAGGGCTGCTGTCGGAAAGCTTGCAGTTTGTTAGATATTATGAAAGCAAGGCCGTCAAGGCTGTTGCAACACCACTACATATTTCTGCACAGAATCCTCAAGGGATACCCCACATACTTAGAATCCAAGTAAACCCTTCCCAAGGGAACTCCTCACATACATTATCTCCCACTATATCTATCTGAATTCTGTTGATAAAACTAGGTTTTGTTCACAGCACAGGAAACCTTACAATAGTCCCACATAGACTTCAGCCACTTCCGCAGCTCCCATCCTCTCCCCTTGCACCTTCCACAGTGTTGACCTTCACTGCAAGTCCCCGACCACTCAGCCATGACCTTACACACACCTACGTGGCCACTGCTGCAAAGAGGTTCTGGCTAATTAAGAGAGCCAGGCACACCCTTGAAATGGCAGCACAGATCATCAGTGGTGCTTTTTTTTTTTTTTTGGTTTCAATTGTACTTTATTTCTTCAGTAGGCTATATTTTAATGGATACACAGCACTTTTACTTGGCATCAATTATGATTTCATTTAGAAATAATTTCGCTGTATCATATCAGTTGGCATGATTACTGATCTCTCCATTCCTTGGGGGTGACTCTGCCAACAGGGGACAGGTTCCATTCTATTCCAATTTGTGTTGCTGTATAGGTCCATGCAGCAATACAGAATGTGACTCCACCAACTAATATAGCATTACCATATTTGTCATGGAAATCAGGTGTATGTTTCTAGTGGCTCTGCCTTGTTACCATTTGTTGAATGCTTCGCACTGGAAAACGACCTAATGTGTTTTTGGCCAAAGGAAACATCATGGAGTTGAAGTTGAAACTGTAGTTACTGCAGCTGCCTTTGGCTCAGTGCAAATTACTTCCAGATACCCTTGCAAAGAGCCAGTGGCGCTACTTAATGACAACCACACTCCCAAATTTCATTTTGCAGTATCAGGAATCACTCTCTGTCACATGACAGGGGCAAAGCCATACATTTGTACGCATGAGATGGCTAGGGCAGTGATCCTGGGGTGCATGAGCAGGTTTTTGAAACTGGCGGTTGGTTGGTGAGACTCTCACCCTGACTAACTGCATATGCTGGTGCCCGTGAGCCAGGCGGCTGCACTGAGGATGAAGATGTGTAATAGAGGGGTCATGCTTCGAGTGCCTGCCATCCTCGTCTTCTAAATATATACTTCTTGTCATAACATACCATTTATTGCCATAATGTCTCTCAATTAAAGGCTTTTTTTTTT